ATTTTTATTTAATAATAAGACTAAAATATTATATTTTATTAAGAATATATGCTGATCAGCAGATTATAGTCTGCACTATTTAGCTATATATATATAGCCAAATATTGCCTAGTTAGGTTATTCCTAATTAGGTATAGTCTAGGATTTTATGTAATAATAGCACAGGATATACCACGTAATCTATGCGCTAGCAGGATCTATACTTAGTGTGCAGATATACTATAATCTTACTCTGTATACAAGAGGTAATTATTAATAGTGTTAATAGCTGTTCCTAATCTGTATACCTGTTTAACAGGTTATAAGCCTAGTACAAAATAGTTATAAACATTAATAATAAGTAAAGGCCTAATTAAGATTACTAAGCGAGCTGCTACTCCTGTGGCAAGGTATAGTCATGTTATACCTAATTATAAAATATGAGTAAGTTGAATACTCTAGGGTTATAGAATCACAAGTCTGTGGATTTAAGAGCAGAGGTATTAATTATGTTATAGTTTATCTTAAGACTTAGAAATTAGCTTATTATAGCTTATAAGTTAATTAACTTTGTTAGAATTAACTAAATATAATAGCAATTAATTAATATATTTCTTCTTTACTTAAAAGTCTATAATAATTAGAGTATAACGTGATTCATAATTGTCCTGCGTATATAATTATCCTGCGTACTTTTCTTCTAAATTATAATCTTCGAACTATTATATGCTATTACAACACAACAACATAATAAATTCTTAATCTTAGGAAGCCAGAATTCTCCTTGCTATCTAGGCTATCTGTACTAACTAAGAAATATTGATCTGACGTGCTGCAAAGACGTACAATGTCCCTCAAACTACCCTCCGTGATCGTATAAAGGGCTACACCTCAAAGGCTAAAGAGCGTAATACTCAACACATTTTGACCCTGACTGAAGAAGAGACGCTTGTATGATATATCCTCGACCTGGATTCGCGAGGATTCCCACCCTAGATTAACGACGTACGAGATATGGCCGACCTCCTTCGCAAGACGCGTCACGCAAAGCCTGTTGGCAAGCAGTGGCCATACAACTTTGTATAATGCCGCCCTGAGCTCAAGACACGTTTTTCGCGTGCGTACGACTTCCAGAGAGCCCTCTGTGAAGATCCTGACCAGATAAAGGCGTGGTTTCAGCTAGTTCTTAATATGCGTACGAAGTATGGCATCCAAGACTGTGACTTTTATAACTTTGATAAGACAGGCTTTATAATAGGAGTCATCTGCAGTAATATAGTAATCACACATGCAGATTAATCTAGTCAAGGTAAGCAGCTTTAATCTGGTAATTGTAAATAAGTAACAGTAATTAAGTATATATATAATAACGGCTTTATATTA